CTCTCTCTCTCTCTCTCTCTCTCTCTCTCTCTCTCTCTCTCTCTCTCCATTCTTTGCCTCATTTCCTCCCCCTTTCCCTTTCTCTCTCTCTTTCTTACTCCCTGTTTCCCTCTATTTCTTTCCCTCCTTTCCTCTTGAGCTCTTTCTACTTAGGTTATATTTTTTTTCATGGTTTATATTTGCCTCAAGATTATTACCCTCTATCTTTGAATGCTTGGTTTCCATACAGTGGAACTAATTATGTAAAATTAGGAGGTCTGCCCTTGTGGGAGTTGGTGTGTATTGTTTGTTAAGATATATCACTATACATGGGCTGTGGGGTTTCAAAAGACCAGTGCAAGACAAGTGTTTGTTTCTGCCTGCTTCTCTGTGTATCAAGATATTATTTTTAGTCACATACATGCTACCTTGAAGTCATTCATGATGATAATGGACTGATCTTCTGTGTAATCAAGCCCCAGTTTAAAAGCCTGGCAATGTAAGTCACCATGGTCATGGTGATCCTTCACAACAATAGAACAGTGACTAGGGTAGATGTTTTGTGTAATATTTTGGCATATTGTCTGTATGTATTCTTCCCATATCCTGTGAGAATGAGGAAGGCTAAATTAAATAGTCATGGATTGTCTTGACAAAACATTTAGTCTGTGGCTTGGTTATTACTGATAACTCATGCAGATATGTAGAGGAAAAGAGCAACAACAGGGGCAGATATTAATGAAACCTGTGTGGTTTGGCAAGAAAACAGCGCTAGGTAGTTTCAGAGGGCAGTCATGTGCTGAAATAGAGGCAGTAATTATCAAGAAGATTAGGGTCATTAAAGAGAGGGTACCTGCTCTTTGGAAATATAGAAAAGGTGCTGCAACAGAACTGTACACCCCAGTAAATAGCCTAAAATGAGAAAGAAAAAGCAACAAGTTTGCTAATCCCAGAAACCAGCTTTATACAGAATTTGTTAGGGATCTGTTCCAATAGGACAGGACAAATCTAAAGCTAGAAAATGTAGACATGTCATCTGTGTGTCACATTTTCTTGAAAGAAGAAGGATGCAAATTTTAAAGGTCATGGGTTCTTCCTCTCGACTTTCAGTTCAGCATGGTTGCAACCATCTCTTTGGCAGTCTAGAACACAATGAGTGAAGGTGTGAATGAAGAATGGATTGCATTTTAAGGCCATTGGATGCTGAGATACCCAAGCTTTGAGACACCTGCTATGAATAGCTGCTGATAGGCCATGGAATTAACCAATGAGATGAGAAAAGTTTCAGAGAGAAAGAGTCATCTAAGCCCTTTGAAACTGAAGATCCAGGTGCCTGACACGGATGTGCAAGGTTTATTGTTTGCCCAGCTGGTTTTCAGTTTTGCCTTGGTCCAATCGTTCCTCACTTCTTTGGAAAGAAAATGGGTTGAGTGTAAGCTTATCATATCATGTCCTATGTCAAAATGTGGTGTGTTGAATGAAAAATCTCTCAAGTAAAAAGGTGAATATGATATTTTGTCTCTGGTTTGTGGTTTCCACTGTAGTGAATACGGTACCTTTAGGATGAGGGGACTTTCTAGAATGCGTTATTCTTTGAGACTTAGCATTGAGTGATTATACCCCTATCACACTAGTCTTCTTTCTGTGGTTGAAAGTTAGCCCCTCCCTTCCTTTTCCTGCATCCATACCACTACCATAATAATAGACTCCATCCCTAAATAACCTAAGGTAAATAGAAGCAATTGCTTTTCCTTGCTAAGCCATTAGTCTGCCGGGATATTTTTATTTTTATATTTTGGGCTGATGGGTTGGATTTTGTACATATGAAGCCTTTGCTCTTGTGCTGAGCTATACCCATTTCTTTACTTTTAAACTTTGGCAGAAAATACAAGTTTTTCCCCCACCAGGATGGCATGCATTCATGACATTAATACTGATCTCCTGAATGATTGCATTGCAGGTGTGTAACATTCGCAATATCTTTATGCATGCCTTGATTTGTTTCATTTTTGAAATATGTGCATGAATCTTTATATATATAATATATACAAATACATATTGTATGTATATAAATGCATATGCATGTGTACTGTGTGTATGCTTCATGCTTACTGAAGTCAGAAGACAACATTGGACTTTCTTTTTTGTTTTTGTTCTTTTTTTTTTTGAGACAGGGTTTCTCTGTGTAGTTTTGGAGCCTGTCCTGGAATTTGATCTGTGCATCAGGCTGGCCTCAACTCACAGAAATCCATCTGCCTCTGCCTCCTGAGTGTTGGGATTAAAGGTGTGCACCATCACTATCCAGCTGGACTCTCTTGAACTGCAGTCACAAATTGTTGGGACCACCAAGTGAGTGCTGGGGATTGATGCAGGTCCTGTGTAAAAGCAACAGGTGGTTTTAACATTTTACCCATCTTTATATTAAACTGGGTTTGTTTGTTTTCTTTTACTTTTTAGTATCAGCTTTACTTCACTGAAGTTTTTGAGAATGCTTTTAATCTGTCAGTCATAAACTTATTAAAAATACATTCCTTTATGTGAATATCATATTAGCCTTAGAGTTTAAATGAGGTACTTCAGTTTTCTGAAAGACAAGTACATTTCTGGAGGGAATATATAACTCATTGGTGGTCTCTCAGTTGTATTTTTTTAATGTGTTTAAAGCAGGGTCTTAGTATGTACTTTTGGCTGTCTTTTAACTCTCTTCACAAACCAGGCCAACTGAAAATCAGAGGTTCACCTTGTCTTTGCTTCCTGAGTGGGGGTTAAAGGTGACATCATGATGCCCATATTGCTTATCTTTCTTGGATAACAGGAATTTTGATAGAATTTTGCTGATGATTACTCAATACTTTTCCTCTGTTTGCATGTTTTTCTATCTGTAAGTCAGCATTTCTCTTGCAATGCCATATACTATTGAGAAGGCCCAGAAATGAGAGAATCATGATCCTCCTTTTTTATTTCCTTCTAAAACGACTTGGTGATTGCATTTGAAATTCTGTGATATGAAATAAATTTGTTGAGTGTGTAGAATTATTTAAATATATTCCCAATGAAGTGTACAGTTACAAAGCATTCAGTCTCATCATTTCTATTACATATCTGTATGGCATATTTTAGGATGCAGTGACCTATGAGGATGTCCTCGTGAACTTTAGTGAGGAAGAGTGGGCTTTGCTGGATCCTTCCCAGAAGAATCTCTACAGAGATGTGATGCTGGAAACCTGGGAGAACCTCACTGCTATAGGTAAGAATGCTAGTTTTCCTTCACTGTGTAGCTTAAGGGGATAAACCTTTCTTGGACATTGGTGTTTCACTATGATGTTGAGAGAGGGAGAATGTGGTGAATAAATGAGATATGGTTGTAGGGTTCACTGAGATAATAACTCAAAATTTGCATAATTTCCAATAATATATATTTCTGATACTACATTTTAGGCTACAGATGGGAAGACCAGAATATTGAAGATCATTGTCAAAGTTCTAGAAGACATGAAAGGTAATTTTCCCATGCAAAGTGATACATTTCTGCCTCTGAACAGATTTTAATGTGCCTGATATTTAATGAAACCAACACTATAAATTCTCAGAACATCAAGTACCTCAATTTCAGGTAGCTGATCTGTGTTTGCAAGTCATCCCTCTAAGAAATAAAACAAGGAAATGATGCCTTAACAGTTGTCACCATAGTAATCATAGCTCCCTGAGATCCATGTTGTAGAACCGTCCATCCATTTAGTTTCATTCCATTCAGGAATTGTAAAGTCATTCACATTGATTAGGGAATTAAGGTGTGTCCAAGTTCTTCTATAGACAAATTGTCTCTTAATTAAGCTGGTGTTACTCATGGAACTTACCATAATTTGGTGAGAGGGGCAGTTTATGAGACTTAAGAAGGTTGTTGTGGTAGAGAAATCGTAGTCCCTATACCACATCTCTTTGAGGAACAATAAATTAAACTGCGTGAATGCAATGGGAAAACCTTTTGCTTGTTTTCTTCCTTTAAGGTATATCATCCGTCACTCTGGATACAAGCCATGTGAGCAAAAGAGATATGGAAAGGAGCATTGTAGCCCTGCCTCTCCCCGAAAAAGCTCTGTAGTAGTTCCCACTGTGGGAAGACATAGTTGTGATGATACAAGTATACAATTACTTGGATTTCCAGCTTCAATAGGATTACATCAACATGGTTACACTGGAGAAAAGCCTTCTGAGTTTACAGAATGTGGAAATTCTTCTGTCTGTGCTGGTTCACATTGCCCATGTAATGTGACTCACACTACAAGAAAATGTTATGGATGCAACCGGTGTGGTAAAGCTCCGAGTTCTTCCAGTTCTCTTGAAAGAGGTGAAAAAACTCATATGGGAAAAGGTTTCTATAAATGTGAGCCATGTACTAAAGGCTTTAACCATCATCATAGGTATCTTCAAACACACAGAGCACATAATAAAGAAGAACCCTTGGAATGTAAACAAGGTGATAAAGCATTTAGATCTGATTCATCTTTGCAACTACACCAAAAGACTCATTTGAAAATAAAACCTTATGGATCTAATCAAGATTATAAAGGCTTGGCATGTCGCAGTTATCTTCAAGTACCAAGAACTCATATTAAAAAGAAACAGTATAAATGTCGTCAATGTGGAAAAACCTTTGCATGCCACAGTTATATTCAAATACATGAAAGAATTCATACTGGAGATAAACCCTATGAATGTCATCAATGTGGTAAAGCCTTTGCATGTCCCAGTTATCTTCAAATACATGAAAGAAGACATATTGGAAAGAAGCCTTATGAGTGTAATCAATGTGGAAAAGCCTTTGCGAGTACTGGTGATCTTCAAAGGCATGGAAGAAGTCATACTGGGGAGAAACCCTATGTGTGTAGTCAATGTGGTAAAGCCTTTTCAGATCCCAGTAATTTTAAACAACATGAAAGAAATCATACTGGAGAGAAACCCTATGAATGTCATCAATGTGGTAAAGCCTTTGCAAGTAATGGTGATCTTCAAAGGCATGAAAGAAGTCATACTGGGGAGAAACCCTATGTATGTAGTCAATGTGGTAAAGCCTTTGCTCGTAACAGTCATCTTCACAGGCATGAAAGAAGTCATACTGGAGAGAAACCCTATGAATGCTGTCAATGTGGTAAAGCCTTTTCATATCGCATTAATCTTCAAAGGCATGAACGAAGTCATACTGGGGAGAAACCCTATGTATGTAACCAGTGTGGTAAATCCTTTTCATCTGGCAGTAATCTTCAAATGCATGAACGAAATCATACTGGAGAGAAACCCTATGTATGTAACCAGTGTGGTAAAGCCTTTTCATCTGGCAGTAATCTTCAAATGCATGAAAGAAATCATACTGGAGAGAAACCCTATGTATGTAATCAGTGTGGTATAGCTTTTATATCTCGCAGTAATCTTCAAAGGCATGAAAAAAGTCATACTGGAGAGAAACCCTACAAATGTAATCAATGTGGTAAAGCATTTGCACATAAATATCATCTTCACAGTCACGAAAGAGGTCATACTGGAGAGAAACCCTATGAATGTAATCAGTGTGGAAAAGCTTTTGCTCGTAATAGTCATCTTCAAAATCATGAAAAAATACATACAAGAAAAAAATCCAATGAATGTAGTAAATGAAGTAAAGTTTGCATTGCAGATGAAGACACCATCCTTTTGGAGGTGCCAGTACCATGGGATGCCCACCAAGATCATCAGTATTGTTGAAATGGAACAACTCAGAGCCTAGAAGAGAATTTGTGTATACTGCAGAGGGCATAGCAAGAGAAGTGACCCGAACACTTTGGCTTAGCTCTGACGGTTATGGGTGGATCCCAGTTGTTGGATGTTATTTGTACTGTTGGAGTGAGTTTTTGCTTTTCTCAAATTGTTTCTGCCGTGCTTCTCTCTTGAAGGGAGAAGGTATTTAATTTTGATTTTTATATGAGCCATAGTTGAAAGACTTTGAACTTTTAAAAAATATTTTGACTTTTTAGTGAGATTGAATATTTTTTGAAGAGAATTTTTTTTATGTGTTTGAATTTGTAAAGATTATGGGACTTTTAATAAACTTATTTATTTTTTAATGTGAGTTCTTATAAATGAATAAGAAAGGAAAGGTTGTGACTTTAGTAGTTTGTGTGCCAAGTTGACAAATAGTTATTTGTACTGGCTAGTTGTATGTCAGCTTCACATGAAAACTAGATTATTGGAAAGGGAAACTCAACTGAGAAAATGCCTCCATAAGATCCAACTGTAAGACAATTTTTTAGTGATAGATGGGGAAGGGTCCTAGGGTCTAGAAGAAAGCAGACTGAGCAAGTTAGTAATTAGCACACCTCCATGGCCTCCGCATCAGCCCCGCCTCTCAGTTCCTGCCCTATTTAGGATTCTGTCCTGATTTCCTTCAATGATGAATGGAAATGTGGATGTGTAGGCCAAATAAATGCTTTCCTTCCCAGCTTGCTTTTGGTCATGATGCTTCATTGCTGAAATGCCAAGACATCCTGTCTCAAAAAATCAAAAAAAAGGGGGGCATGTGGACAGATGCCTCAGTATTTAAGACACTGGCTGTTCTGCCAGAGGACACAGTTTCAATTTCCAGCACATACATGGAAGGTCACAACTATCTGAAAGTCCTGTTCCATGGTATCCAACACCCTCACACAGACATACATATTTTAAAAAATATGCATGTAAAATAAAAATTAATTATAGAAAGAACATATCACATTATGGAACTTTCCATAACATAATCAGGACTTATCTCTACTCAACTAAATTTTTTATCATCATTCACATCAAGAGAACTGTGTTAACAATTGAAATAAAAAGTAATGTTCAAAGTCCATTCACAGAGAGATAAAAATCCATTGAATTGTTCAAGGACTAAATAGCAGGGAATTTCATCGCCTCCAAGAGGTAGAAGACAGAAAGTAGTACTGCTGATGTTCAGTACCTAAGTTTGGTTCCTAGCACCCACAACATAAGCCTCAGAAGTACTTACAAAGACTTGACCCGGATGTCTGATACACTCTTCTGACATCCCTGGGCATCAGGAATGATGCAAATAGTGCAAAGATTGTGTGTGTGTGTGTGTGTGAGAGAGAGAGAGAGAGAGAGAGAGAGAGAGAGAGAGAGAGAGAGAGCGAGAGAGAGAGAGAGAGAGAGAGAGATTCCATAACTTAAAAGAGCTTTTTCATGTATATGTTATGCTTTTCTTTTCTAAAATCAAAATGAATTTAATTTAGGTTATTGTCAGAACACGGCCCTGGATAGGAGTCATTTAAGGAGAATTCTGAATGTTTTTGTTAGCAGTCCAATAAAAACAAAACAGTAGTCTCAAGTTCTTCAAACCATGGAATTATTCTTTGAATGTGGTTTTATGCTCCTCCCAACTGTAGCAGATAGGTGTGAGTTGACTTTAGATTACTTAGTATTCCTTGCAGGTGTTATTCAATTAAATGTTTGAACTATCCTTAATATGCTGTATGGAAAAACATGGTTTTATCTTATTTGACTCTTTTTAAATCATTGTATACAGCTTGAACTCATGGGAACTCCACTCATGTGACCTTTCTTAACTCACAGTGTATAAATTGTCTGGGGCACTGAATGAGGTTGGCTGTTGTATGAGACTTTAATTCTCCTCATTTGTCTGCTCCATTTTGCCCGGTTCCATTACCTGTAGAGAGGTGAGAAGTGGCACTTGAACAAAAATCGGACGTCAGCTGCAAGTTAAGAGATTGGTGACCTCAGGGAAGTAGGCAAGTGAGAATGATGGACAGAAGCAAGGGAAGACTTTGCCTTATGTTGAGCTAGGACATTTTTAAAGTAAGAAGGAGCCCAAATATTAAACATTAAAAATCACAAATATTATATACCTTCCAAATAATTATGATTATAACTCCTGGTTTTCATAATGAGGAATTTTAGATGATGTATGGGACAAAACCCAAAATAATGTTGAAAGGGCTAATGAACAGGGAAAAGTTCCTTTGGTTATTAGCATGGACTGTTATCAAACTAGGGAAGATATGTAGGATATTAATCATGAAGGAGTGAGAGTGAATTTCTTGAATGAATATAAACTTTATGATTACACTTTAAAATTAGTAAAAGAGGCAAGAAGGTAATTTTCCTTGTCCAGTCAAAATCAAAGGTTAAAATAGCATCCCCTATATGTGCTGAGAACAGCTCATTCAGCTCCTAGCATCCCCTGTATGTGCTGAGAACAGCTCATTCAGCTCCATCATTGGAGCCTCCATTACACCCATATCTTCTATTTTCTGAAAATGACCCTGAAGCATGGGGTGAGTAATTTACTAATCAATCTAATCTCGAATTCTCTCTATTTTGATAAAGACTATGGAAAAGTTGACTTCATTTACAAATTTCTTCCTGACCCTATGAGGCACGATTGGTTTGTTCAATGCAATTTCAGTTAAATAAAAATGTTTAACACCTAATTATGCACTAACGAATCCATTTAAAACTTTAGAAGGAGAGATGGCATTGGCCTGTCCTCACATATTATCTTGAGAGGCAAAAAGTAACTACAGCTATTTGATTCCAAACCAAAGAGTAATTTGTGTATCCTGTGGATTCTTTGTTGCCGTCAGACTTACTCAGTTACGCCACTAAATTGTCACCTACTGATATTTTAGCATGAGTATAAACCTTTGGAATGGATTTATTTACAGCCTAGGAGGTAAAAGATACTACAGCTTTCCTTACTCTTCTTGCTCAATTAGTAAATCAGGGCAGGACCTGCTATCAACAAGTATAAGTATAAGACTTTGTTTATTGCTGTATTATATTACCCTTAGTTAACAATCAATGGTTAAATGTGTTAAAAAACTGTATGAACTTTCAGACCATTTGCAGATTACTATGGCAACATAGGGGTTTTCTCATATGACCTAAATTTATGATTATAAAAATTGTCCAACCTTTTCCTATTTTACAGGCAGAACCTTTCAATTGATGACTCAATCATCAAAGGATTCATAGTCCAGGTAGCCCACTAAGACCCGCCCTCCCCCACATGCTCCATATTCTGGGCCACAACTCTGGCAGAAGACTTCGGCTTTACTGGAGGCTATAACAGTACTAGGTACTTCAGGTAAGATATAACCCAATGCCTGTTAACACTTCTTAAAGTTCACCCAACAGCCCCCAAATGCACCCTCTTCCCTGGGCTTGATATCCTAGCTCACAGTTTTGGATGAAGACTTCTGCTTTACTGGAGGTCTTTTACTAGGAACCTCAGAGGCCACACAGGTCTATGGAACCCCAAAGGCAACATTGGCACCCAAAACCCTAGAGGTCATGCAGGATGCAAAGTCCTCAGTGGAGACACCCTACTGGTCACCAGAACCCCAGGCCACTCAGACCAGGAGACTAAAGAGGAGCCAGAAAATAAGGGGAAAACATCCAAAATATATCCACCAAACAAAAATCAGAAATCAGCACCTAAACTTATAGTAGCTACAAACCCAGATGACTAGAGGCAATTTAAGAACAAAATCATAAACAGCCAGGGCCACCACCAAATTCAAGCTATCCTACTACAACAAGCCATGGATATTCCAATAAAGCTGCAGTGCAAGAAAATGACCTTAAATCCAACTTTATGAAAATGATAGAGGCCCTATTTATTATTAGAAATTAATAAATTCCTTGAAGAAATCTAGGAAAATACAAACAATAGGTGAAGGAAATGAGTAAAGCTGTCTAAGTCCTGAAAATAGAGGAATTAAAGAAAACATAAACTAAGGGAATTCTGAAGATGAAAGATCCAGAGGAGTGGACCGTAACTACAGACACAAGCATCGCCAACAGAATACAAGAGATAGAAGAATCTCAGGCGTAGACGATATCGATACATCAGCCAGAGAAAATACTAAATCTAAAGCATTCTCAGCACAAAACATCCAGGAACTCCAGAACACTATGAAAAGACCAAAACTAAAAAAATAGGAATAGACATAGGAGAAGAATCCCAGCTCAAAGGCCCAGAAAATATTTTCAGCAAAATCATAGAAGAAAATTTCCCTAACGTTAAAGGAAGAGATGCCTACAAATGTACGAGAAGCTTACAGACCAAATGAATTGGACCAGAAAGGAAAGTCCTCTACCACATTCTAATCAAAACACTAAGTTACAGAACAAGGAAAGAATATTAAAAACTTTCAGGGGAAAAAGCCCAAATAACATATAAAGACAGACCTAGCAGAATTACACCTGACTTCTCAACCAGACTAAAAGCCAGAAAGGCCTGGACAGATGTTTTGTAGGCCGTAAGAGACCATAGATGCCAGCCTAGACTACTACACCCAGCAAAACTGTCAATTACCATAGATAGAGAAAACAAGATATTCCATGAGAAAAACAATTTAAACAATATCCATCCACAAATCCAGCCCTGTAGAAGCTACTAAAAGGGTAATGTCAAGATTAACTTCACCAAAGAAAACACAGGGCATAAGTGATTTCACACCATCAAAACCGAAAGAAGGAGAGTGGCCAGGCAGCTCCGAGTAAGCAGACTCTCCTTCCCAGTAGATTGTAGAGGGTGCACGGCCAGTCTCGTCTTCTGTTCGGCATGGCATCTTCTGACATTCAGGAGAAAGAACTGGAGAGGCGCACTTCAGGGCAGATTTCTGAGCTGATTCTCAGCCCATAGTCAAAAGAATCCGTCCCCAATTTCCTCCGTTCCCCCACAAAGAAGAAGGACCTTTCCCTGGAGGAAATTCAGAAATTAGAAGCTGCAAAAGAATGGTGCAAGTATCAGGAAGCAGACATCCAAAAGCAGCTTGCTGAGAAGTGGGAGCATGAGAAAGCAGCGCATCAGAAAGTCATCGAAGACAACAATAACTTCAGCAAAATGACAGGAGAAACTGACCCAGAAAATGGAAGCTAAGAAAACCAGGAGGCAGAGATGGCTGACGAGCTGGAGTGTTTGCAAGAGGTGCAGAGAAACAAATAATCCAA